TGTAAAAGCATAGGTTGTCATCTGTGCTTCTAACCAACCAGCTATAAGTGGGAGGTCCCCATGATCCCTCCTTGGATTTGATCATTTACTAGAACAGCTTACAGAACTTAGGGATCACTTATGTTTACTGGTTTATTATATAATGAAAGATACAGATAAATAGTCAGATGAAAAGATACTTAGGGTGAGGTCTGGAAGGGTCCTGAACACGAGAGTTTCTGTCCCGGCGAAGGTAGAACGCATCACCTTCCAAACATACAGATGTGGTCACCAAGTCAAAATCTGATTCCTCTACTTTTAAATTTATTGGGGCGACACTAGTTAATAAAATTATATGTTTCAAGTATACAATTCTATAATATACCATCTTTATATTGTATTGTGAGTTCACCAAAGTCACGTTTCCTTCCATCACCATATATTTGACCCCCTTTATCCTCTCTTGCACCTCCCCTACACCTTCCTTTTCCTCTGTTAACCATCATCCTGCTCTCTGTGCCTATGAGTTTTGGTTTGTTTGTCTTGTTTGCTCATTTGCTGTTTTCAGTTTTATATCTTACGTGAGTGAAATCATATGGTTCTTGACTTTTCCGTGTGACTTATTTTGCTTAGCATGACATCCTTGAGATCCATCCATGTTGCCAAAAATAGCAGCATTTCATCTTTCTTGTGGCTCAGTAATACTCCATTGTACATATGTACCACATCTTTATCTAATCATCCATTGAAGGACACTTGGGTTGTTTTCATGTCTTGGCCCCTGTTAATAATGCTGCAATGAACTTAGGGGTACATATATCTTTATGAAGAAATGTTTTCAAATTTGGGGGTTAGATATCCAGAAGAGGAACTGCTGGGTCATATGGTAGCTCTATTCTTAATTTTATGAGGAACTTCCATACTGTTTTCCATAATGACTATACCTATTTATAGTCCCACTAGCAGTGTATGAGGGTTCCTTTTCTTCTCCCACAACCTTTCCAACACTTATTATTTCCTGTCTTGTTGATAGTAGCCATTCTAACAGGTGTGAGGTGGTATCTCACTGTGGTTTTGATTTGCATTTTTCTAATAGCTAGTGAAGTTGACCATCTTTTCATGTCTGTGGGCCATTTATGTATTTTCTTGAGAGAAGTGCCTATTCAGGCCCACATTATATTCTTTTGAACATTACAAAATTTGGACTAACCTATTTTTAAAAGTTTAACTGGCAAGGAACAATCCATTTCCCAAGTAGCCTCGTCAAAGTATACTAACTTTAAAATACTCTGGCATAATAAAATATTTTTAATACAAAGGCAGCACACATGACACCGATAGACAAGTGCTCTTACTTAATGAGGCCGTAGCACACAGCTCGTAGGGGTCCATGGTCTTTCTTCCTTATGTTATTGTTGACCATACTATCTAGTTCATCTCGAGCAAACCGAAGCTGAACTTCTGTTACACTATAACTTGCTGATTCCCGAGCACAGTCCTCGATGTTATGAGCTTCATCTAAAATGATAACCTGTTCTTTCAGATTGATATCCATCTATAAGATAAAAAAATTTTCCTGTAAAACATTCAGCAAAATGGACTTAACAGCAGTAGGCAAGTTATTGCATTTAATAATTCATACTATAAGCCAATATTGCAAGTGCAAGTATATAAGCAACTGATTCTAGGTATTAAAACTTCTAAAGCACTAAGGCCAAATAAATATCAGCTCAACATTTCAGAGTTTGCCACTTTTCACTCTCAAAATACTTTTCAAACCTACCACAACAAAAATAATATGTGTTAAGTGAGACTGGATCAAGGTCCAGCTGGCTATGCAAAGGGGTATAAAAATTCCACCATGAAGGAACCACCAACATAATGTAAAAAGCAGAGTAAAATAACCTTTAAAACTAAAATAAGAAGATTCAAAAGACTCTGAAAATACTAATAAAATATAGTATGTATCTTTCATTTTAGTCTGTTCTGTAACTCTTCATTCTGAGAACTGCTCTTCCCCAACTCCCACGTGATGTTGGCAGGACTAATAATCTGTTAACCATTCTCACAACATAAGTTGACTCAGAGCCCGGGCTTGTCAATTAAATCAAGTATTCCATCCCTACATAGTTACAGTGTCTGGTTCGAGAATGGATATAAGATCCAAACAAGGCTAATCAGAGTAATTTTGGGTGACTCATGTAAGATCACATTCTTTTTTCCAGCTAGCTGCTTATGGTTATCTTTGTTCCCACTGGAAAGAACTTGCCTGAGAATAGAGCCATCACAATGAAGAGTCAGTCAAGTATTTTTTCTTAAGCTCTACTGAATCTGAATGTGCGACTGGAAGAGTCCTGACTAATACAAAGTAACTGTCAATGAGTTATTCTGAAACAATATAATATACAGAAAGCTGAAGATGACGAGAAAAAAAAAACAGGAAATACACTGGGGTTTAAAGATGAATAGGATTTGGATTTGGATAGACAGAGAGTAGGGCATTTCATTTCAATATAGGTGTCATCAAAGGCAGGGATATAGGAAAGAACAAGGAAGAAGAAGTAACTATTAAAGGATTCAAGTTGGGAGTTTGCAGCAGAGAAGCCTCAAAAGGCAGATTCAGGTTAGACTACTGAGCATCCTGAGAGTAAGCTTAAGAAATATGGACTTTACCCCATGAGCAAAGAGCAATAATAGGTTTTTAAGCAGAGGAAAGATATAAAAAAATTTTAGAAGACTGATCTGTCACTAATCTGTACAGTTGCTTGGAGGAAAGAGACCTGGCTAAGAGGCAACCAAATGAGAGGTAAGATAGTAGAGTAGGGGTAGTGAACATACTGGCTATTAATTCTGAACTTAAGGAAATAGAAAGCTAATGAGAGTTGTGCAGTCAGATCTGAAGAGTGAAATAACAATTGAGTAAACCAAAGTTATTCACTTTTTTTTTCATATGCTGGATGTCTCTAAGAAAAAAAAGGCAAATAAACATAAATGCTGTATCCAAAGTTCACTTCTCAAAAGCTCACAAAGTATAAATTGCATAGGATGCATATTTTCCCAACATCGGTTTTTCAAAACAGATTTTTCAGATAAATGTTTTAAAATAATTCTTTCTGACTATTCATAAATAGAAAGGTGATAGCTATAAATGGGTCTCAACTAAGGGTAATTTTGCACCACGGGATATTTCAAAATGTCTGGAGACATTTTTGATTGTGATAATGTGAGGGTGCTACTGGCATCTAGTGGATAAAACCAGAGATGCTGCTAAACATTCTACGATGCACAAGACAGCCCATCACAAAAAAGAATTATCCAGTCCAAAATGTCACCACTATTTAGGCTGAAAAACCCTGCTATAATCCTACTTCAGGACTAGGTCCTTAAAAGTACTTATTACTTTGGAAATTAAAATGACAAGGTCTAAAATACAGTTTTTAATACACCTTAGAATATGTTTTCATTACTTTAATATGATTATACACTTACATAAATTAACTTTAAGTAAAAAATAAAGTAAAAGACATTAAAACATCTAAAAGCTTTTAAATTCACCACTTATATCCCAGTAAGTAGAAAAAAAGTTCAAATTTTTAAATATCTACTCACACTCTCTCTTATTTGTGCATCTAGAAGATAGTTGTAGGGACAAAATATTATGTCAGCGTTTTCCATTAGTTCTCGTGCTGTGTAATATGGGCATGCCTTTACTTTTTTCCCCAAGCTGATGAGTTCTTCTATGTCCCAGGCCTTATACATCCCTTGAAAAGTCTGTAATGTGTGTTGATCACTAATTTTATGAACACCGTGATAAAAATAACAGGATTTACCCTGAAAACAAATATGCATAACTGAAATGTGAACCAATACTGAAACAGAAGAAATAAAACAAGTTTATCTCAGAATTTTAGGAACATCATTAAAGCCACAAGGCAAAGATTTTATAGAGGAGGAAAATTACACCACACCTACAATCACAACCATTTTAAAGAAACTATATTAGTTGACTCAACAGAGATCTAGATCAGTATAGCTCTTATATATTCCAAATTAATTTGATAAATATATTATTAAAATTATGTTTGTTTGGCTTTGCTCTGATTAAAGTGATATTAAGCAAAATATTTCTGGCAAGATACATAAGAGCAATGATATCACTGGTTGCATTCAAAGGTGAGGGCTAAGTGACTTGAGGACAGGAGAGGGAGAAATTTTTCTGTACACACACTTTTGCATTTTTTAAATTTGAGCCATGAGACAGTATCACTTAATCAAATATACATAAGTAAAAAGAAAGGAAGGAAG